TCCGTCCTGACCGACTCCCTGACAAAACGTCACGTCCAGTTAATGCGCCCAACTACTCCCGCAATGTCAGCCGCATGTTGGCGCAGTACAGGCAGAGTGACCGACGAAACAGGGGACCGAGCGCAGCAGGGGTTACCTGCCACTGTGCTCATCACTATGCCCCCTGCTGACACCCGTACTGCCCTGTGCTAGCAACTCCTGCGCCAAGGACAAAGCGGCGTGGAGGGTCAAGTCCGGGTCCCTGTAGTCTCGGAATCAGCACAAAAGACCAACTGCTCGTCCTCCGCCTCGTCAAGAGACCCCCGGCGAGAATCCTCGGACATACTATTTCTTCTCGCCTCGGCCAGAAGCCGGCAAATCCCGCATCCTCGTCGCCTCGCCTCAACCGAATCCCTCTGGCGAGCCGCCCATCCGTTTAAGTGCGCTGGTCACACACTACTACGTCGACCCACGGTGGCGAGAATGCAAACAACGAGGCGATGGGGACGATGGTCAAATCTCCTTTTACCATCCCCCCTGCGACGGTGCAGGGTTCTACGTGCCACTGTGGACACACGCTCCGTACTTTTCCACCCTAAACCCAGTGACGCGACCACTAAGACCCCGCATCATACACGGGTCACCTCAGGCCCTCGGCAAAGCGAGCCTCGCAAGACGATGAGCTACAAAGACTTTCGCTGAGGCCTCGGCACTCCACCAAGTCAAGAATTCACAAGGCACGATATGTCTCCTACAGTGGAGGCCATACTAATTAGACGTCAACAAGGACTCCCACGACCTCAACAACTTTGGGCTTGGCCAAGACACGCACACGCTTGATCAAGCACCGATCGCCATTCCCAGCACTTTATGTTGCTCTGAGGTGAACTTCTGATGGGCTCCATATGTAGCTCACTCATGTACTCCTGGCTCCCTCCTTACGGCTATAAAAGGAAGCAGCCAGGGATAGCTCTAAGAGAGGCGAGAAAACATACGAAAGAATGACGCTCTCACACGCGCGCAAGCGACACTCTATAACACACGCTCCCCCCGATGCCTGAGAGCAACGCCTCAGGCAGCCCGCACCGCTCCATGCCGAGACCTGGGACTAGCTCCCTCTCTCACCCAGCTTGTAACCCATACTACAAGCACCTCGGTGCAAGGAATACAAGATCGATCTCTCAGACTGGACGTAGGGCACCGATTGTCTGAACTAGTATAAACCTTGTGTCTCTTTGCATCACCATCCGGGATTAGGGGCATGCAGTTCAAATTCACTGGTTGGTTGAGGACTCCGGTCCGAAACACCGACACATCCGGTCCAAAACTATCGAACCGACGGTTTAACCGGTTATTAACGGTTGGACCAATAAACCAGTGAACCAATAGTCTCATCGGTTCGATGTCCGGTCCGGTCCTAATATCTGGGCTCCACTCTTCTCTGAGCAGTGGACCCCTGTATGTAGGGCCAAATTGGCAGTCTGGACGACACCTAGCAGGTCATGCTCCGCGTGAAAGCCGCTTTGTTGGTACGCGAGGCAAGCTGACCATGCCTCGTGGGCCACGGAGTAAAGTAGTTTCCCTGGGCCCTCATGCCGGTGCCGGCGGGCCAGCCGGGGCCCGTGGTGGATTCGGGTACCGCAAATTGGACGTGGACGGTGCAAAAGGTACGTGGTGGAGCCCGCAGCTGGGCCACGGGCTCTGACTCACGAACGTCTCCTCACGACCTCACCTAATCCTTGCCAGTTTCTTTTGACACGACAACGGCGGTGTTTGTTTCCGTTTTTGTGACTCTCGCTTATAAGGTGAGCAGCGGATAAGTCACGATCCGGCGAATACGTTGTCTGAATAAGTTGCGCGTTTCGCTATTCTAATTATTTCTGGTAGATTATCTATCCTATATGTAAATTGACCTATGTACTCCTGAGGCTAATGATACCTTTTTTTGGTTCGTCACAATGATCTGAAGGCAATGGTGGGAATATTTTTAAAGTTTGAGATAGCAATATGGTTCCATTAAGTTGCAATGTACAATAATAGTGGAAAATAACATCTATTTGGGTAATGTAATTGCTACAAAATACTCAAGTTTCTAACAATAAATCACCCAACCAACACATTAGCAATAGCATCACAGAAAGCACCCATATTCATATCATCCGTCAAAATAGTGGGGGAGGGGAGGGGAGCCGGTGGTGGAGAGTAGATCCGGCCGACCGCCGGCAGATCTAGCCAGTGGAAGGCGACGGCCGGTCCAGAGGGGGCCCCTGCGCTGCCTGCCGTTGAGGGGAGGGGAGCGGGGAGGGACCGCTGGCTGCCGGTCCGGACGGAGGGGACGAGGGAGGCGACAGCGGGGAGGAGAGCCAGCGCCGAATCTGGCCGAAAGGGATGAAGGAGGGAGGCGGGGTGGGAAGAGCCAGGCGGCGACGGGGAGGGAAGCCGACGTCGTGAGCGCGCATGGGTAGGGACGGAGGGGCCGGGAGGGAGGGGCAGTGAGAGGAAAAGCGCTCGCGATTTCCAAATCGTAGCCCTTCGGGCGCTTTTTCAATCGCCGTTGCGGGAAGGAAAGCGAACGCGGACGCCGTGTTTGCGATGGATGCCGTTGCGAGTCATTTGGCGGGCGTATCCGGCTTCTCCCGTCGCGAACGCGCGTATGAGCGCAAACAAACAGGGCCAACATGACATGCTCAAAAGCGGCAAGCATTCCTCTGATCCATTTCTCAGGGAATTCATCCGTGTGATTGGGGACATTTCTTTCTTTTAGCAATGGACCGTCTACACAGAAAATATAATCAGCCTGCTTAGGTACACTTTTTGCAACGCTGTGCAACAGCAACTGCTGCAAAACTACAGTAGAGAGTAGAGTAAAAATAGATAAATGTGGTGCACAAGCAGCCGCAACAGTTGTAACCCTGTGAAAACTGCAATCGAGGAGGTTAATATGTTGCATATGCGACTTGAAATGTGTCACGGTGACGGTGTACCACCTCCTCTCGAAACAATCTCATAGAGCACTTCGAGTTTGTATGGTTTGGTAGCTAAACCCAACTTAACCTAGCTAGACAGCATCCCAGTTGTTTATTTTAAACACCTAGCTGATGAGCTAGTTATCAGATTGCAATTCAATCAGGCTCATTTCCTTCGTCTGCTCAGAATATACTTCGTATCTATCATGGCCCTGTTCGCTTCTCTTATAATCCGTACTTTTCAGCTTGTTTTTTCAGCCGAAACAGTATTTTTTTCTCCAACAAATCAGCCGAAACAGTATTTCGACTTGTTTTTTCAGCGAAGCGAACAGAGCCTATACTTGTTTCCCTAGCTTGATGGAACAGCAAATTTTGTTCATCTCAGAGGAAAAAACGTTCCACGGCTTCGGACAAAAATGCTCTAGCAGAAAGAAATAGGGTGGAACATGGTCCATTTCAGTCGCACCGAACAAAACAAACCCGAAGCGTAGCAGATGTCCCCACGAAGACGAAGGGGGCGTTTGGATCTCCAGCTCATCTCAGTATCTCACCTTGCAGGGCAAGGGGAACTAGAATGTACATGGTGTTTGTTTCCTTGGCCTGCCTGCCCCGTTTCCTGCGCAAGCAAGGTTTCCCTTGCTAACTTGGGAGAGCCAGGGCCTGCTTGGTTTCCTTGCCGCGCACTGTTGTGCCTTGCTGGGCGAGGGTAGCGAAGAAAGGCAGGGTTTGGTAATCTTGCCTGAGCATGTCGTGGACAGTGCAGGCAAGGTTTGCCTTGCTCCCTCAGTAGAGCCAAATTGGGTGGCTTGCACGAGCAAGCTCCTTGTTGTTGCCGCCGGCTCAGCTGGGTGAGGCGAGGCAAGCCTCTGCCAACAACCAAGCAACCCCCAACTGTCTCACCTGGACTGGCAAGGCTAGCTTTGCTGGATGAAGTCAGGCGAGGAAATTCAGCAAGCAAACCAAACATATCTGAAATTCAAACACCGTTTGCTTTCTCTGAATTGATTTTCCATTCAAAAATTTTGGACCCGCTCCAGACCAGAACCTGAACCTAAAGCCCATATGAATCCTTGGGCCAGGCCGGCAAACAGCCCGCTGCGTCCCACAATCCGGCTAACCCCTGCGTGAAACTGTGGAACTTTTTCCCGGATATTTCTGCGTTGGACCTGGGAGCCTGGAAAGTGGAAAGCGTCGCCGGCTCGAGTAAGATGGCAATGGGGATGTACTGGTCGGGTATCGTCGGAACGTTCTCTTCTCTGCTATGGAGAATTTATCATGTTTTTGTCCTCGTTAACTGTCTCGGATATAGATTCTTGTCCATCTCTGTATCCGTCGGTCGTCGGTCGGGTAACAGATACCCGACGGGTACTGCATACCTGATAAACAAGGACACTTGAGGTCGCAGCTTTGCAATCGGAGACGTTTCTTCTTCACCCGGGTATAAGTGTCGGAGTCTCGGAGATGCCGAGAAAAAGGAGCGAGGTTGCGAGGAGGACGAGCAAAGGTGGCAGAGAGACCGAACTGAGGAAGCAAGGGGCACGAGCGCTTGTGAGGCAGGCGTGCTTGTGCTGCTGGCGGAGACGGTGAGGAAAAATTGAACTAGGATTTCTAGAACACATAAATTATATATATGATTGTTCAGATTTGGGCTAAAATACCTATGTTGAGCTTTTTTGGCCTAATACTCGCATGACAGCTCAAATAGTCGGGTTCTCCAACGGATAACGGGGACGGATAAACAAGGAACGTTCCCGTACCCGTTATACTCGTCGAAAATGGATTCTTGCCATTTAAATATCCACCAGTAAAAATATGATTCTATCTCCGTCCTCGGGTATCGGCTCCGTTGCCATCTTTAGGCTCGACGCCAAACTTGCTGGTCGCTGTCACGTCGGTCCAAACCAAATCCATACCTCTCGGCTCGCACCTCTGCATCGCACCCTATCCTCCGCAGTCCCCACCACCCTCTCCCCGCCTCCCGCCTCCCGCCTCCCGCCTCCGACCACCGCACCGGCGAACTCGGCGAGCCGCTCGGCTCTGCACGCCAAGCTGGGGATGGCCGCTGCGCTCGCGAGCTCGCCGCTTGTTCACCTAACCGCCTCCCGCCTCCGCCTCCCCAGGCCCCGGGCCTCCGCTTCGAGCTCCGCTCCAGGCTGTTGGAGTGGCGTGTGCCTGGGATGGAGGCTGACGGTCGGGTTGAGGGCCGTGAGGCGGTGTGACCGGCTTCGATGCTTCTCCACCGACGGGGGCAGCGAGGAGGAGGGGGAGAAGCATGGCGAGGAGGAAGCCTCGGCGGCGGCGGCGGCGGCCCCGGCCCCGGCTGAGACACAGGTAGGCGCCGCGGAGGAGCTGGCATCCGAGCGGAGCCGGTCGGGGAGCTTTTCGTCCTCATCCTCGTCGTCCGGGGTAACACTCAAGTGACTCAAATGCACGATTGATCAACCTTTGCAATGAAGGAATAGTCACTTACTCGGGGGGTTTGCTTGTTAATTTGTTTCTGTTGTGAGGCATTGTTCCATCGATTGGGGTAATGTATTGAGGGGGTAGCTGTGGGCGTTGGGTTAGCTGGGGAACGGGTGCCTTCTAGAGAGTTTTGTGTGGGTGTAGCTTTGTATTGACTATTGAGTTCAATGGCATGTTTGATAATTCACTGGCCAGAGCTTTTGTGGCATGAGCTAATTTTTCACAATTAGAGCTCGTGGCTAACTTATTGGTCACTCACTGTTGATTTTCAAATGGAATTCTCATATATACTGCGTGTACTAGTTGCCGGTAAGGATATTAGAGATTTAGAGTAAATAATAGTACTGGCATATAGGGCGCGTTTGAATTGTTGCCCGCGGAAGCCCAGCCTCATTTTGGTCGTTGACCGTAGGCAAGGATATCATTTGGACGGCAGCCGAGATTTGGCTTGCCCTTGTTCCCATGCCCATGCCGCATTAATTTTTAGCCCAAGCGCGGCCGATTCCTCTGCCAATTTTTGGCCAGCCAATGGTTTGGCATGGCCTGCACGCGGCAACATCCAAACATGCCCATAACATGTGACATTCCAGACATAGTTAATCCAACCTAACCCTGGTGATGTAATACATTTGCCCAAACTGAGTCGCTAGGTGCGTACTTGCGCACAGGCACTATCCCTCGTAGGGTTGGTCTTGAGTTAATTTTGGGCCCTAGTATGCTGCCGGAACTCAATGCATCATTGCAATTTCAATGGTCTGTTCTTTTCACTTGATATTGCATGTTTAGCATTCAGTTTTGACATATGGGTGGGAAGGAACAACAGTGTGCTTGTTCCCTTGATTAGTGATCACAGTAAAGTGCTAATGTATCTAGTTTAAAAGATTCTGGCACTTCACGTTGGGTTGTATTAAAATTGTACCCAAACATTGGATCTTACCGTGTCTCTCTGTTATCTGACAATGACTGTACAACTACCTTTGTTTTATCCTTTACTTGCTGCAAGGTCCAATTGTGCTTTTATGTAGTTAAACCTGTCTTAGCACATTCTTTTTCTTTTGAAATGATTAAGCTAATTCTTTGTCTCTTTGGTTGTCTTCAAATTACACATTCCTTATAATCTGTAGATAACTTTGTGTTAATACTATGCGCATGGATACTTCTTTATCTCTAAACCAGTTCTGCTACATTTTACTTTGACCAGACTCCTGGTGTATCAAGCGAGCCACCACTGCTGAGTTTTAGTGTTGATAATATCGATACAGTTAAACTGTTGGAACTTCTAGGCCCGGAAAAGGTTGATCCAGTTGATGTCAAGGCAATTAAGGAAAAACTCTTTGGCTATACGACATTCTGGTTGACAAAAGAAGAACCCTTTGGTGATCTCGGTGAAGGAGTTCTTTTCATTGGGAATCTCCGTGGGAAGAGGGAGGAAATCTTTGCAAAACTTCAACGGCAACTGCGTGAACTTACTGGTGACAAATACAATCTTTTTATGGTGGAGGAACCTAATTCAGAAGGGGATGACCCACGTGGGGGGCCACGTGTTAGTTTTGGTTTGCTTAGGAAGGAAGTTTCTGAGCCTGGACCTACTACCCTGTGGCAGTATGTCATTTCTCTGTTACTTTTCCTTCTCACTATGTTCTCCTGCGTTGAGCTAGGAATTGCATCAAAGGTATGCTTATCTTACTCTTCGTCTATTGTATGTTACTTCATCTTAATACACATCAGCTTCAAGTTGCTTATGCACTTTAGTTTTATGCAGATTAGCAGTCTTCCACCAGAAATTGTTTCATATTTCACTGATCCAAATGCTACCGGACCCCCTCCTGATATGCAACTTCTGCTCCCATTTGTGGAATCGGCTTTGCCAGTGGCTTATGGTGTCTTGGCTATCCAACTATTCCATGTAATTTGTACCTTAAATATGTTGAGCATCTGTTTGTCCATTAGTTTCTATTCATTTATTAGTTATTTTTAACCTGTAAAGAAGCCATGTGAAAGCATAAGACCTTTTCGATCAGTTCAATGCACCATGTTTTAACCGCTTTTTTATGTGGCCTCTTCTTTTGGTACGTTTTAATTCTACCTAATATGTCGCCTTTCTGCATGCAGGAAATTGGACACTTTTTGGCAGCATTCCCAAAAAATGTGAAACTAGGCATTCCTTTCTTCATTCCGAACTTCACCCTTGGAACTTTTGGTGCAATTACTCAGGTTAGTATTTTCTTAAAGGAAGTCAAATCTATGGGACTATGGGAGTTTCTTGGACAGCTGAACTTGAATGTATTCTTATTTCTAGATTGATATTGATCAGTAGCATGCTGTGAGTGCATCTTGATAAGGCCGTGTACTTCAATGTTAACTTCTATATTAGCTGATTTAAAAGCTACGAACGTACAACCTACAACATAAACTGTAGCATACCTCTTTTTCAAGACTTTATATAGTTCACCGAATACAATTAAATAATTCTAATGATGCTTACTGTCATCAATTGTCAGAGGTATGCTCTGTAGTTTCATTGGCACGATAGCAATCAATCTTTTTTGGCCTTAACAGGTCCAGTTTCTGCACATTTCTGGCCGTGCATTGAACAGAAGACTGATACATTATGCATACTTTTTTCCTGGATATTTTCTTACTTTTTATATTTACTCATGTAGTTCAAGTCCATTCTTCCGGATCGAAAGACAATGTTTGACATATCAATGGCGGGTCCTGTGGCTGGAGCTGCACTTTCCTTTTCAATGTTCTTTGTAGGCTTATTACTCTCTTCAAATCCTGTTGGGGCAAGTGATTTAGTGGAAGTACCTAGCCAACTGTTCCAGGGTTCATTGTTGCTTGGACTTATTAGTAGAGCTACACTTGGATACAGGTATCTGATACTTGATATTTTGAACTCGGTTCATTTCGAATCTGTACTAGTCATTAGTTTTTATTTTTATTTTTCCCACAGTTCTGTTTGTCATATATTCACCACTTCCCTTACCAGTCACAATGCGCTCATCAGAGCAGTTCAAGAGGAAACCAGTCATAATGATATGTTATGGGATTCTTATGCTTATGGACCACCATTGTGGATTATACACCAACTTAGATACAAATGTCACTTATTCTATAGCAACTCCTGTTTGTATAGTTTCTGAGCACATTAGTCTGAGGACCGCCAGAGCCAACCTTAACAACCTTAACTCCTGTTTCTGTTTTCTTTACGCTTAACTGTTTGGCTGGTGTTCCCAGCTGGTGTGTGGTGTGCGTTTGTATCAACTTCTAGCTTTCTATAAAAGCCGGGTTTACCTCTGTCAAAAAAAAGCACGTTAATCTAACCATGGTCTGTGGCATGATTTGAAATAATCTACTTGGTTGTTTCTAATGAACTTATATTTACTTCCAGTGCTATGCATGCTGCTACAGTTTCGATCCACCCTCTTGTGATTGCAGGCTGGTAAAGTATCGTTCCCTAAACCCTCAAGACCTTGCAACCAAACAAGTGTTACTTTTCTAATTCTTGCAAACTTTTAGGTGTGGTTTAACTACTACTGCATTTAATATGCTTCCTGTTGGATGTCTTGATGGTGGAAGAGCATTACAGGTAAAAATTCCTGTTAAGTTCTGATTAATAAAGTCAGGATATCAGACAACCACGCTACCAGATCTTCAGATGGTCCTCAATGCCTAACAATGTTTTCTGAACATGCTTTTCTTTCACCTGTTATGCTAAGTTTCTAAGTAACATGCCTTGTGATCCCATAAACAAGTTTAGACTAATGCCTGATGATTAAGTAATTATACTTATCTTTCACAAAATATATGTTTTGTAACTTTTGACTGCTTGTGCATCCAAGAAATCATCACTGAAATATTACTATTTCTCTAGAATACATATTATTTTCATAGGATATTGTTAGTTATCACCAAACATTATTATATTACCATGGTCCAGGAGTCTGGACATGTTTATACTACAGCAAGGTATGCTGTTACGGTATTGCAGATGCTTTTCCTGTGCCACTCCATTGTAGTGTGTCATGATAGGCTCTGATAGTTTTTTGGATTGTAGTTCCATGAGAACAAGTATGCATTCAAAAATCTCATCTCATTCTGTAAAAATATATTCAGTGTGAGGATTAAGTTTTTTCAGCCCCCATTTAGCAGCAAAACATTGAACTTTTTCATCAAACAGTGTGTTTTAAGTCCACTTACATATTCAACAGGGTGCTTTTGGCAAGGAAGCTTTGTTTGGATTTGGCCTAACAACGTACTCATTGCTTGGACTAGGAGTGGTAAGTTGCTCCATCTTGTGCTTCGTGTTTCTATTGCAGTCATCAGCATGGTTTCTAACCTTTTCAGAAGTGATTTCATCCATATGCCATGCATATAATAACTCGATGATAGCGTTGATGAATACCTACTTTTATCTCAAATATTGTGTTATATCTTATATAGGAAGTTGAGTCTTTCTTAATAGTATTATTCTTTTCCCTTTTTTTATCTATGATTCTTCACTTTCAACCTTTACCATGATCTGCTGTGTGGCTATGCTTCAGTAATGTTACATCCAACTCTAATGTTCTTTCTTCTTCTTTTTTCTTTTTTTTCTTTTTTCTTCTTTTTTGGGTTGTTCTAGCTTGGAGGACCACTATCTCTTCCTTGGGGTTTGTACGTGCTAATATGTCAGGTAAAATGGACAGCAAATGGACGCTTCAGACATCCACTAAGAAAAAAATTTACTATTTTGTTATTTTTTTACAGAAATGCAATGACTTCATTCGTGCCTTCTTATTTGTCTCAGAGAACACCAGAGAAACCATGCTTGAACGACGTAAGCGATGTTGGAAGTTGGAGGAGAGCGGCCTTGATAGCTTCAGTGTTTCTGGTCGTTTTGACTCTCATTCCATTGTGGGATGAACTCGCGGAGGAACTAGGTGTAGGGCTTGTTACTTCGTTCTGAGATACGGTGATTACCGATAGAACTAGGCCGTGATGTAGCTCAATTTTGTATTGAAAGGTAGCGTCCCATAGTGGAGCTGTTGTAAAGGCATGTGGAATTTCTGGATTAGGTGAGCAATGATATCTATCACCAATGTGAGTGTAATGAAATGAAATTGTGCTAAGATAGCCCATTTTTGCCTTTTTGTGAATCAAAGTATAGACGCTGACGATTACCAATATGTATGCACACCTAACCATAAGAATACACGTATAACAATCTACCTTTCTATGAGCATCTTCAAATGATTGGGCATGAAGTTAGTCAGCCTGTTCGTTTGCTTGTAAACGATCGTAAATTTTCAGCCGGGAATAGTGTTTTTCTCTCACACCAAACCAGCCCGCAGTAAATAATCCACGATACGATACGGCCTTCCGAACAGGCTGAGTAGAAGCAAGCATGAAGGGCCTGTTTGGTAGGGATTTACCAGCTCTAGATTCATTATTTTCAACTTCACTTCACCAAAAATTTCCCAAACACTCTAGATCCACCAAAACGGTGGATCTAGAGACCTGATTCACCAAATTGGTGGAGCTCCTCAGGGGGTGCTCCACGAATGGGTGTTCCGTACCTCCTCGTAAAGTTGGATAAAAATTACCCACCTTTGCCACTAGTTACACACCCCTTACCCTTACCGGTTCGATTCTTTCCTTTCTTCCCCACCTCACGGGTTACGACGCCCCTTCGACTCGCGCCTCGCGCCGACCTCCTCTTCCGTCGCGGCCAGGGAGGCCGCGCCGCCCATCCCCTCCCTCCATCCCTCCACTCCGGCGAGCCCTCCATGGCCGGATCCGGTAGATCCGGTCCTGCTCGACCTCCTGCACCTCCTTCTTCGTCCACATCCATGGGAAAGACCGCACCTAGGGTTGGGCTTTCTCGTCAGCTACAGGGTGCGGCCACCGGAGCTCCTCCTCCCGGCGTCGCGGACATGCCCCCTTCGGCCGGCCTTCAACCCGCCCCAGTCAACTGGCAGGGAGCCGCGGCCGGTGTCGACCCCGCCATGGCCGGCGCTCAGGCAGGCGCGGGCGGCCTCCAGACCGCCATGGACGGCGCCCACCAGCATGCCTTGGCTGCCCAACAAGCCTTCCTGGCCAGCAGGCAGCCATGGGCGCTGGGGGTGTGGCCACTGGTCAAGCAGGCAGTAGTTCGTCGCAGCAGCAACCGAGGACACGCGCTCCGTCGACCAACAAGAGGGCAAAAGAAGATGAGGTATAAATTTGTCTTTCAATTTTGTGCAACAATTGTACAGTGCTGGGGAAATCTTGATTTGGGTGATCAAATACTTGTGGGAAATTAATGTCAGGGTGATGCTATGGATTGGACTGATGGTTATACCGCAATTGTTTGTAAGTTTTTTGCCGAGCAAGTTAGAAAAGGAAATCGGCCGAACACACATTTGAACAATGTAGGCTTTAGCGAGGTATCTGATAGGTTTTTTCAGTCCACCGGAATAATGTTGAGTAAAATGCAACTAAAGAACAAATGGGACAAGTTGAGAAGGGATTATGGTGCTTGGAGGAAATTAATGAGGAAGCAAAGGGATTATGGTGCTTGGAGGAAATTAATGAGGAAACAAACGGGGGTTGGGTTCAATTGGAATACAGGAACTATCAACGTTCTCATATGTTTTAGGAAATTAGTGGTGTTGACAAGTTCAAGAAGAAGCCTATCCAAAATGAAGACGACTTGAAGGTGATGTTTGGAAACATTGTTAATGAGGAGCAAGATCATTGGAATCCTATGAGTTCCAACCCCATCATACCCCTTGATGATGACACTCCAACTGATGGTGTAGAGGCTGAGCACCCCACTGAGCATCACACTGTTGATGGTGACAACAACTCTTTTGAAAATGGAGATGATGTTCAGGAGGTCACTCCTGTCACAGACAATGGTAAGAAAAAGGCTAAGGTTATTTTGGAGAAGCCCACCAAGAAACCTAAGAGTAGCACAACCCTTGTTATCTAAGAGCACATCTCAAAGATTTCTGAGTCTGCATCTTCTTTTGTGTCTAAAAGGCAAGGTGGGATCACCATTGAGCAAGTTATGGAACATGTTGTGGCATGTGGGGCTGCATATAAGACCGATGAGCATTTTGTGGCAACTGAGTTGTTTGTGAAGAAAGAGCAAAGAGAAATGTTCATGACCCTCCCCATCGATGAAAGGCTCTATTGGCTTAGGAGGAAGTACAATGTGATGTATGGAAGAAATTGAAGGCCTAGTTGTTTGGACATGTCGTCGCTAGTGTCATTTTTTTATGCTCATTTGGATATGTTGTCGCTTTTCTTTGTTATTTTAGAGACGTTGTCATTTTTTTAAGCTCATTTGGACATGTTGTCGCTTTCCTGTGCTATTTTAGAGATGCTGTCAATTTTTTTTATGCTCATGTGGACATGTTATCGTTTCTTGCAGATGTCTAGTGATGATTCCAGTGATGAGAGTGATGATTTTTTTAAAATTGTCTTAAGTGGTGCTATGCTTGCCTAAATATATTGTGACATGTACCTAGATAAAAACCCACCAAGGACTTCAACCACTAGTGGTATGGGTTGGTTGCTAGAGACAATGAACACTCCGGGGGAATGCCATACACAACTTCGTATGAGCAATGAAAATATTCGAGGACATCCATGATTTATTAGTGGAGAGGTATGGGCTGAAACCATCCTATCATATAAGTACCTATGAGATGCTTGCCATGTTTTTATTTACATGTGCCGGAAGTGAGTCTAGTCAAAAAGTTCAAAATCGGTTCAAGCATTCAGGTGAGACATGGTCTAGGAAATTTGATGAGGTCCTTAACTCTCTTATGGCCATGGCAAAGGATTTCATTAGACCTAAGGACCCTAATTTTCCTACAGTTCATAGGAGGATAAGAGATGATAGACGAGCGTTCCCACATTTTAAGGATTGTATTGGTACTCTAGATGGAACACATATTCGAGTTTCTCTTGCACCCGATGAACAAGTGAGGTATATTGGGAAAACAGGGATAGCCACTCAAAATGTCTTAGTAGTTTGTGATGTAATGGAAGACTATCTAATGTTGAGAAGTTGTCATGAACAATCGTAATATTTAGTTAATCTTTAGTTATTTTTATGTATGGACAATCGAAATATTGTTGACATGAGTTAATTAATTATCTATTTGGTGTGTCATATTGCATTTGTGTTTTAAAAATATACCTTTTTGAATGAATATAGTCATAAGACGTGAGCCACATGTCTCATGTTACAACCTAAGGGTAAAATAGGTTATTCCCACCAAAACCTCATTTTCGTGAATTTGGATCTGTTGTTTTGCCAAACAGTTCCCTGGTACATACACGGTGGATCTTTGATTCACGGTGGAGCTGATCCATGGTGAATCCCAGATTTAGATTCATATTTTACAGTGGTGAATCTCTGCCAAACAGGCCCAAAGTCACTAGAAGCGTCTTGCATGGGCATGAAGTCACTGGAAGCGCCTTGCCTCCTATCATAAAAAAAGTTATTAAATCTCGGTGTTAGGTATCGATATTAGGGATATCCAAAGTAAAGAAGTTAGTGTCCACGCTGACTTCTCTAGATTGCTCGAGATGTATTAAAAGGTCTTTCCTGACTCCAAAGCTGTGTGCTCCGTCTCGCTCGACCTCGAGGTCGCGGGCTTCATCTCGCCCGACCCCAAGGACGCGGTTTCCGTCTAGCCCAAGGTCACGGGCTCCGTCTCACCCGACCTCGAGGACGCGGGTTCCATCTCGTCCGACGGAGATCCATACCGCCGTCAACCACTCCAAGTTCATGCATATGAGCCTGGGTCAAAACTCTAACGTTAGGGAAGAGGCTGGCACGCCTCGATGTAACTCGTGGCCATGACGGGCCATACCTGGGGATTCACATTAAGAATAGTGTCGGGCGTGCCGGTGCTGTTCTGCCCAATCCTCGTATGAACGCTGACAGGCGCGTCAGTTCACCATAACGTCCGCCAGGACGGAGTAGAACGCCATGACCGGCAGATGACGCCTGCGCATGGCGCCAGTGACGAACAAGGCCACAACATGGAGCCGTCTCTGTTGACATCTACAGGATCGGCGGGACCCGCATGAAGGAGAAGAAGGACCCGACAACCCTAGAAGCCTTCTTCTCTCTCGTTCTTCTTTTTCTCCTCTGTAACCCACGTTTTTTTCTTCGTCTATAAAAGGGGAAGCAAGGCACCCTATGAAAGGGGGGATCTTGACACAAGAGCACGACATGAGCACACGACTGAGCGGTAAGCGAGTTCTCAGCACCCGTTCACTCCTTCCACCAGAGACTTGGGATCCTCTCCCTCTCTCGCCTGTTTGTAACCCCTACTGCAAACCAAGTGCCGGTAACATGAGCAGCGGCGAACTGGACGTAGAGACGTTTTGGCTAAACCAGTATAAACCCTTGTGTCCTCTAAGCACACCATCCGAGCCAGATGCGCAAATATAAATTTACTCGTCGGTGGTCCAAAAACACCGACACTCAGAATATAATTTTACAAAAATGTGAATAGCCATGTCAAGTCTAGGATTTAAATCTGGCTAAACAACTTCATAAGAAACCAAGTATGAGAGTTAGTTGAGAGGCCTAAGGATCATAATGTGATTGGAACCAAGTGGGTCTTTCGGAACAAGCAAGATCAAGATGGGATAGTAATAAGGAACAAAGCAAGATTAGTGGCTCAAGGTTACACTCAAGTTGAAGGTCTTGACTTTGGAGAAACATATGCCCCGGTTGTAAGATTTGAAGCAATTAGGATCTTATTAGCCTATGCTTGTGCCCACAACATCAAGTTGTACCAAATGGATGTGAAGAGTGCATTTCTCAATGGGTACATCAATGAGCTTGTATATGTTGAGCAACCTCCCGGTTTTGAAGATAAGAAGAAACCCAACCATGTTTACAAGTTGAGAAAGGCTTTGTATGGATTAAAACAAGCACCTAGAGCATGGTATGAGAGATTGAGGGATTTCCTACTCTCTAAGGGATTCAAGATGGAAAAGGTTGACACCACTCTCTTCACCAAGAAGCTTGGAAATGACTTGTTTGTATTGCAAATCTATGTTGATGATATCATTTTTGGGTCAACAAATCAAGATTTTTGTGAGGAGTTTGGCAATATGATGGCAAGTGAGTTTGAGATGTCCATGATTAGAGAGCTTAGTTACTTCCTTGGTCTTCAAATCAAGCAAATGAAGAATGGCACGTTTGTGAGTCAAGACAAGTATATCAAGGACATGCTCAAGAAGTTTGGAATGGATGATAGTAAAGCTATTAGTACTCCAATGGGGACAAGTGGAAGCTTGGATAGTGATGCTAGTGACAACATGGTGGATCAAAAGATGTATCGGTCTATGATTGGAAGCCTACTCTATGTGACCGCATCAAGGCCGGATATGATGTTTAGTGTATGCATGTGTGCTAGATTTTAAGCCTCACCAAGAGAGAGTCATTTGAAGGCAACAAAGAGAATATTGAGATACTTGAAGCATACACAAAATGTTGGATTGTGGTATCCCAAAGGAGCAAGGCTTGAGTTGATTGGATATTCAGACTCCGATTATGCAGGATACAAAGTTGAGAGAAAGAGCACATCGGACACATGTCAACTATTTGGAAGATCACTTGTATCTTGGTCATCAAAGAAGCAAAATAGTGTAGCACTTTCAACCGTCGAAGCGGAGTATATTTTGGCCGATAGTTGTTGTGCTTAATTACTTTGGATGAAGGCTACTTTGAGTGACTTTGGAATCAAATTCAAGCAAGTGCCATTGCTATATGATAATGAAAGTGCCGTGAAGCTCACCAACAACCCGGTTCAACATTCAAGAACAAAGCATATTGATGTCCGCCATCATTTCATAAGAGATCACCAACAAAAGGGGGACATTTGCATTGAGAGTGTGGGCACCGAAGATCAACTTGCCGATATCTTCACCAAGCCACTTGATGAGAAGAGGTTTTGCAAGCTAAGGAATGAATTGAACATACTTGACTTCTCCAATATGTGTTGATACACCCCAAATTATATGACATGCCTCTACTTCGAGCAATCCAAGGTAAAAGTTGATTGGTATGGCATACATCCTTGCTAAGGACATGACTAGTGCATCTAGACATATTTCACATTTCAATAGGCTCATTCATGAAAATCAAATGAATTTGATGCTTGTATGGTACCACTATTGCTTATATGCTTGAAATGATCTAGTGGTAGCATATGACATATTTGTGGGCTTGTAAACCTAATGTTTGATCTAGAAAATAAGCTATAAGTGTTTAACTCAACATGGTACAAGATAACCCTTATTTAGAGGTGTAAATAAGCTTGTCCTTAGATCAAACCGAGTTAAATATCTTTTGTAAGTAATCTTGATTCAACCACATTGGGAAAATGATCCAATTCTCACATGGTTTCACCCCAACCTATCTATAATTTGAGCTCACCTTTTATGCTAATTGTTGACAAAGGAGGAGAGAAACAAAGATATGCGTGATAGGGGAGTATTTGACATAGGGGGAGAGATATGAGATATATGATAAAGGAAAGGGATCAATTAAAATTTTAAGCACATAAGTAGGGGGAGCAAGCTCATAAACTTGTATGTTGCATTTGAATGTGCATTTCATATATTTGCTTGCATGGCACAAGGTTTAAAATCTCAATATCCATGCTTGTGAAGTGTATGCTAGTTATATGCTTAAATGATGGAATAAAAAACTAGCATGCATAGGTAATCTAGTGACTTTATTTTCAAGTGGTATCAAACTCAAGTAACTAGACTTATATTCATCATATGGAAACTAGACCCTTGCTTGTAATATTGATCTCATGAGGTATTCTAGTTTTTGTGAATGTCTAGTTACTAATGGTGCTAAGGATGGTATATTGGTGCACTCCGATTAGTATCACGCTTCAAAGGTCCATCTCTTATACCTTAGCATCATTTGATAGAAATTGACTCCTATATTTCCTATCTAAGCATATGTGCAAGCTACAATCCAAACTCTTAGCACATATGTAGGGGGAGCAATTGCTACCATTTGGGATTCATGAAACTTGTCCATATTCTTTTACACATGGTAAATATGTTTGGGCAAGCAACATGGATACAATAAAATTTAATTCATATCTTTGTGTAAGGGTTGTCATCAATTACCAAAAAGGGGGAGATTGAAAACTCCAGTTTGGTTTTGGTTAATTGATGAAA